TGACTTGAGGTGTAGCTTTGGGGCAGCCTGGGCACTTGTTGGGCAGCTAGAGCTTTGTGTGGTGGCACCTTTGGTCTGGCAGGAATCTTCATGTGGATTCAATTTTGGGGAGCTGCGATCGGCCATTGCAGTGGAGGGCTGAAAAAAAGAAACAGCAGCTCTTTCCACCAGGAAAAAAAGTCTGGATCTTTTGACTTCAGGTGTAGCTTTGGGGCAGCCTGGGAACTTCTTGGGCAGCAAGAGCTTTCTGTGGTGGCACCTTTGGTCTGGCAGAAATATACCTTTGGATTTAATTTTGGAGAGGTGGGACCGGGCATTGCAGTGCAGGGCTGAAAAACAGGAACAGCAGCTCTTACCACCAGGAAAAAAAGTCTGGATCCTGTGGCTTTGAGGTGCAGTTTTTGGGGCAGCCTGGGCACTTCTTGGGCAACAGGAGCTGTCTGTGGTGGCACCTTTTGTCTGGCAGGAATCCTCCTTTGGATTCAACTTTTATGAGGTGGGATCCACCATTGCAATGCAGGGCTGAAAATCAGCAACAGCAGCTCTTTCCACCAGGAAAAATGTCTGGATCCTGTTGCTTTGAGTTTCAGTTTCTGGGGCAGCCTGGGCACTTCTTGGGCAGCAAGATCTGCCGGTGGTGGCACCTTTTCCCTGGCAGGAATCTTTAATTGGATTCAATTTTTGGATGCTGGGATCAGCCATTGCAGAGCTGGGCGGAAAAAAAAGGAAATTACAGCTCTTTCCACCAGGAAAAAAACCTGGAAGCTTTGGCTTTGAGGTGCAGTTTTTGGCGCAGCCTGAGCACTTCTTTGGCAGCAAGAGCTTTCTGGGGTGGCACATTTGGTCTGGCAGAAATCTTGAGTTGGATTCAGTTTTGGAGAGGTGGGACTGTCCATTGCAGTGGAGGGCTAAAAAAAGGAAACAACAGCTTTTTCCACCAGGAAAAGACGTCTGGAAGCTTTGGCTTTGAGGTGCAGTTGGTGGGGCAGCCTGGGACCTTCT